TGCCTGCCCCATGGCCGCCTCCCACTGGTGGCTCATGGTCGCCCCACGCACCAGGCCTCTCTCCTGCTCCATGGCGGCCAGCTGACGAGCCCGCAGCCGGTAGCGGAAATTGGGTTACTGGCCCCGAAGTGCATGCTGTGCCCCCTGGGCTGGGGGCAGGGGTCTGACATCAGTGGGGGTCCCCCAACCCGGGATGGGGGGTAACAGGAGTGATCAGTGCAGCGCCCCTCGCGCTCTCTCTGTCTCCGTCTGTCCCCTGCAGATTGCGTGGTGGACATGGCAGCCGGGGAGCCGCAGGGCGGGGGAGAGCTGGGGGCAGGGCCGGGCCCTGGGGAGCTACGTCTGACCGTGCGAGGCCAGGAGAAGGACTCACAGCTCACACTCAACGTGCCCAGGGTAAGAGGGGGCTGCGGGGGGGGGGGCCCCCATCTGGGGGGCCATCTACGGGGGGAGGGGCCATGCCATGGGGCTGTGAGGTGCTGTTTGCAGAGGGAGGGGGAGGTGGGGGTTGTCACAGCCTCGGGGAGGGGCTGTTGGCTGAGGGGGGGCTGGCGCAGTCAGGGGGGGGGCGGCTAGTCTAGGGCAGGCCCCTCTCCTCCTGGGGCTGCTTTGGGAGGGATTCTGGGGCCAGTCCCTGTAGTGCCCCCTCCCAGGCATGTCTGCGGCATGTGCCCCCACCCCGCTAACCCCCCACCCCCGGCAGGCGGAGCCGCTGCACCGGCTGATGGAGCGCTACCAGGAGGCCATGGGGCTGGGTGGCCGCCAGCTCCGCTTCTTCTTCGACGGGCAGCGCCTGGCGGGGACCCGCACGCCCGAGCAGCTGGGCATGGAGCCCGACGACGTCATTGAGGCCTGGGCCTAGCCCCCTCCCGGGATGCCCCTGCCCCTGCATAGCTGGCCATGGAGCCCGATGGAGGCCTGGGCCTAGCCCTCCCCCAGCCCCCTCCGCGGGATGCCTCCCCACAGCTGGGCACGGAGCCGGCTGCTGCTGTCCCTGAGCCCGGGGGATCCCCCTTCCTACCCCCTGCAGCAGCTGGGCACGGCCCTGCCCCCACCCCCTGCACCTAGGCATGGCCCGGAGCCTGCCCATCATGTCAGCGAGGCCCAGACCCAGACCCAGCCCCGCCGGCCTGTTCTGTAAATAGGGGACTTTAGGGGCGTTTATCCCCCGCACTGAGGGGGGCGAAGCTGCTTTTATGAAATAAATGAATAAATGAACCGAGCTGTCGGTCCTGAGCCTCTTGCCTTTTACTTGTGGGGAGGGGGTGGGCGGACACAGCTGTGGGGCTAGAGCGACTGGCACCGCGCCGGACCCTGCCCCCAGGGCTCAGGGCCCCCTTGCTGCTCAGCGTGAGACAGGCCCTGCACCCACAGAGCTCACACGCTCAATACGTAGCAGGGATGGACCCACCCAGGATCACACAGAGTCTGTGTCCCAGCCAGCCATGGAACCCAGGAGTCCTGGGCCCCAGCTCTGCCCCAACCCACTAGACCCTGCTCCCCACCCAGAGCTGGGGATAGAAGCCAGGAGTCCTGGCTCCCAGCTCCCCCCCCTCGTTCTTCCCTTTGGGCCCAGCAGCTCCCCCCAGCCAGGTTTCTGCCCTGGCCGGCCTGTTTTACAGCTCACCCTCCCGACAGCTGTCAGAGCCGGGCACCCGGGGTGTCTCTGGGTCCCCCCACCTCATTTCTCGGAGCTCCTTCATTCAGTGGGGGGAGCTGGCCCCATCTCCTCCCCCTCGGGGGGTGGCTGTATGTCTTGGTCCTTGGGCACCAGGGTCCCGCTCAGCTGGGCCCCGAAGGCGCGCTGCAGCAGGGCGGGGATCTCGTGGGGCTGCAGGGGGGTCTCCGTGCGCTCCCCGCCCCGCGTGGCGATGAGGCGCCAGCCCATGTAGGTGAGGCGGCCGCCGCCCGGCTGGGGCAGGCTGCAGAAGGACTTGCAGGCGAAGATGGAGCTGGGGGCCTGTTGGTGGTAGCAGCACATGGCGGCGAAGTCTCCCAGCTCCCGCTCCTCCAGCGTGAAGGTGTAGAGCATCTGCCCCTCCTCGCCCGGCGCCCGCAGCCGCTCCAGCACCCAGACGCCCCCCGCCAGGCCCAGCCGGAAGGTGCCGCCCTCCTGCGGCTGCTCCAGGCCCGGCTCCAGCCGCAGGGGCTCCAGGAAGCCGTCCCCGAAGCCCACATCGCACAGGAAGCGCTGGCCCCCCAGCCGGGCCAGCAGCACCAGGTGGTCGCAGGGCGGCCCGAGGCGCCCGGTGAAGCGGTTCCGGACGCGGCCGGCTAGCCCCACGACGCAGAAGCCCAGCGCCCGCAGCAGCCACAGGAAGAGCCCGTTGTTCTCGTAGCAGAAGCCGCCGCGCCGCCGCCGGACGATCTTGTCGTAGAGCAGGGGCAGCGCCAGGGTGATGGGCTCCCCACAGTGCACGCTCAGGCTCTCAAAGGGCACCGAGAACAGGTGGCAACGGTGCAGCCCCCGCAGCGTCTCCAGGGTGGGCTCCATCGGGCCCTGGTACCCGATCCGGGAGAGATAGGCACCCACGTCCATCCCAGGCTGGGGGGCAAAGCGGGGACTGTGAGCAGAGAACC